CCTAATTGAGCTCCACCTACATTGATTTCGGCAACAATCGATGGGGTTCTTGAGCAAATTTTAAGTTTTTTCTCTCTTCTATTTAGTCATAGGTTCAGATCGGATAATGCTGAGGAAGACAAAGGCTCGGACGATGTTATCCGGGAAGAAGTACGTCGATGCTCTATNTTCCTCGCCTAGCCGCTCTGACAGTTTGCTTCTCTGTCCTGGTTTTTATCGTCGGGTCTTCGATGTAGTGCTATGGAAATCATTCAACTTCATCGTCAAATCATGGAAATCACTAGCATTTTCGTACCAACAGAGAACGATGTATTTTTTCTGCTATGAAGCTGAAGGGGAGATTAACGTCGTATGCACAACACTTGATTTACCAGTAAAATGTAGCTACGTATAGCTAGCGGTTGTAGGTCTTCCATGTAAATCAGAACTATCGACGGTAAAGTTTTAGCTTTCGTTAATAGATGCTTTTTCTTCGTTCACAAAAGCTGCAGTTTACATGGTATCTGGCGATTGAGGCTCTTTGGGACTCACATTCTTATAGCAGGGTCCTCGCTTCTAACTCACAAAAAAATGGGCATATGATTAATTTTTAGGTCCAGTTGAAATGAAAAATCGTTTTCAGAATCGCCCCCGCTGGTTCGAGAACGCGACATTTTTGAGCGGATGTTCAAGTACTGCGTCCAATGTTTGGATGTTTTTATGATTCCTTTTCCGCAGCCGCCATCACGCGTGCAAGTTCCGAACAGGTATACGCTGCTTACTAGCATGCATATCTCCAAGGTGGCATAAAGTGTTTTTTTCACAATCTCAAGTATTTGTTCCAGTGTTCCGGGTGGTACAAGATCGAAGGAAGAGAAGGACGCTTTGGATGCGTTGGCTTATTTGGTAATGGGAAAAAAGATTTTGAATTGGAAAACTGAAGCTCTACTCACCTATTTCAGTTCACAATGCTGAACCTTGACGTCTTCGGCGAGATATTCACGAAGTACATGGACTTTTTCGTTGTGCGCATGGCGAAGTAGGTTTTCGCTCACCTTCTTTATGCTTTTCAAGCAAGACCAACGCGTGGCTCTTTGTTGATATGTCGATAATCTGAGTTGCTACTATTCCGAAGTAAGTCTGCTGTCTAAGAGACTTTTCAGAGAATGGTAGACGGTCTTTTAGAGAGCGATGGGATAGATATAGGGTTTCTTGTGATCTGCAGTTGACGAGAAATTCGGCCGCTTTCGTAACCACTGCAAATTATTGAATGAATAGACCAAAGACACATTCATTACGCCCCTACGTTCAGAATGGAAGTCGTGGGGGCTCATCTCCCCATGAGATGGATTAACGCCAAAAAGCCTTAGAGTTTATATTGGAAAGGCCGGCAAAGTAACCTGCTATCAGTCGATTTCTTGGTTTTCCAGGCATCTAGATAGTTGTTTAACCACTGACTAGGAGAAGTCTTGGCGATGCCTAACGCATGTTTCAGAACTTCGAATGCACGATCTACAGAGTACACGTAAGCCTCGGAGGCAGAGCTCAGTTGAGCCGTACTGCGCTTGCTCTATGCCCTATTCATACCAAATTTGACCAAGCCTATCCAGTTGCTTCTACAGATAATTTACCTAATTTCGTGACATATCCACACCCATGAACATTCTGATTTGAATATCGCTTAATTCATAGTATTCAAGGGTTACAGCCTAAGTTGAGCGAATTTGGGGTGGTGCATAAGATGCCTTATCACGCACGTGGTCGGGGATCAAGTCTTGGACGGATATCCACCTGGGTGATTTGAGTTCTACATCCACTGCGATCGATTGATTGATAGTAGCCTAGCCGTGGTGGATGAAAATTGAATTGTACTTGGACTGTACGTGACAAATCATTGTTTTGGTGGAATACGCCTTCAAATACCACGACGATCCTCAATCGAATGCGAAGCGTGGACGGATTCCAAAATGAGGATGATCAACACTAAAAGCTTTATCACTACTTGATCTTCTGAAGTCGGGCCGCGTAACATGCTATTAGACTCTTACTTCGTTGGATGGACTTAGTACTGTGTTCCATTTCTTACACGTCCCGTATGTACTTCGAGTATTACCAAGAGTGGTGCTACTCATCATACATTTTGTTCCAGGAATCTGCCACTTCAGCTGGCATGTAACGCTTTCTTGGTCCGAGCGGATGTTTCGTTTCGATTCGGATGCATAATTGTCAAGTATCTTATGGATCGGCTACCGTGTTTAGCAGGTGTCGTCGTGTACATCCCATTCCATTAGGATCAAACTCGGTCATCTTCAAAGTTTTTATGAGTAGTTTAGTTATGAACGACGTATCAACGTTATACGTGAAGCTGTTTAAAATCATCTTCTCAGCGATTGGCTGCCAAAATTCAGCCAGTCCTGATGGGGAAATCATGCTCAAGGTTTGTTCCAGTTCATACTTGAAAACTTCACCTCATCCTCCGTACTTGTTTGTTTGTTTGTTTGTTTGTTTGTTTTCTGTTTCAAAAGATCGCTTTTCAGCCTTACTTACCTGAACTCATCCGCAAGTCAATGGAATATGCGCTAAGCGCAAGAGATCCTATTAACTACTTCATGCTCCTTCGTGCCCTGTTCCGATCAATTGGTGGTGGCCTTCATGACATCCTCTATTCACAGTTTCTCCCTCTTCTGCCAGATTTGATGCTCTTCTTCAACAAACTACAGGTAGGGGCTCTATCGCTCTATTAGTCCGAGATCCAGAAATAACTCTTCCTTTGGACAGTGGTGTGATCATCGCCAAATGATGCGAGAGCTCTTTGTGGAATTGTGCCTGACTGTACCAGTGAGGCTGTCGACTTTGCTTCCACATCTCCCATTGCTGATGGAACCGCTCGTGTGTGCTCTCAACGGAGGACCGAACTTGGTCCAACAAGGTGTGTTTCTGTGGAATGGCATTACTCGGATTATGTGCTCCGTCCATAATAATAGTATTCAGGCTTGCGTACCCTCGAGCTATGTGTCGATAACCTGCAGCCTGATTTCTTGTTTGACAACTTTTCTCCCGTTCGTGGGGGAATGATGCAAGGTTATTTATTTATTCAAATACATCCAAAAGTGTTCCCCACAGAAGACACAGAAGCAGGAATTATGAGGCTTTGCCCTTTTGTTGACAACTAAAAATTAGAAAAGGGTAAAGTAGTAAAGGAGGTGTCTCAAGTCAATGTTCAGGGTTGTACAAGATTGTTGGCAAGTCTGTGGAACCTCAGTCGGTGGCAACTGCAGTTCGTGTGCTTGGGAAATTCGGTGGAGCCAATCGCAACATGTTCACAGAACCCCCGGTACGCGAAAAAGCGCTCATTTCTACGGATCTCTTTTTCAGATGTGTTCAAAGACCAGCTTTTTTCTTTCCTAAATATGAACAGCCAGAGATATCCTTTCCTTGTAGAGTTTGAAATCTCATCCAAAAGGAGATCAACCTCCGTTCACTATTCGTGTAGCCTTTGATCGACCAAACACTTCGCAGACGTTCTTCTCGACCATCTATGGCGATTTGGCGNTTTCTTTCCTAAATATGAACAGCCAGAGATGTCCTTTCCTTGTAGAGTTTGAAATCTCATCCAAAAGGCGATCAACCTCCGTTCACTATTCGTGTAGCCTTTGATCGACCAAACACTTCGCAGACGTTCTTCTCGACCATCTATGGCGATTTGGCGCTCACTGAGATTGTCCGTACAGCACTGAAACAAATAAGGTTGACAGTTTTTATTTTCAAGTCTAAATGGTGTAATTTTTTGGAAAATTCAGACTTGACCCATCTCATCAGCACTACTCCACACAAGTTCGCCTGTATGCAATGGAGGTGAGTTTTCCAATGGTTCCATCATTTTTGACAGTATTCCAAGATAGGTGACTTCAACGTTACGTATATTCTTTCCCATCTGCATGTCCCGAATGTCACCTCAAATATATGCAACTGTCGTAGTCGGGGCACCCAATAATACCGACAGCTAGTGGCAGCCTTGGGCTAAGGGGAAGTATCAACAAGATTGAATGGAAAATGATGTTCTTTTCTCTTTGAAAAGCTTGAGCATTCCAGTTGGCACGCTCTGTTCTTCTAAGTAGTTTTGCTCCGTTGGATTTCTCTGAAAAATGGGAAGTCGGTCTAAAGGACCGCTTCGTTGAGCAGTTCAAGGTAAATTATCTATATCTGTCAATGTGAGATTGGAGAAGTGCAAATAGTAGTAATTGTAGCGGCTCGAGAATGCTCCCGACAGTTGCACCGTCCTGCGGTGTGCTCGTGAAGGAGATCGCTCCATACACTCCGATGCTCTTATGATTCTCTTCTGTAAGAATTATCACTTGAGTGTGTTGTTTTTTACCCACTACTTGACTTTGTTCAAGGCGGAATTGTTGGCAAGGATCTACGAAGCAAATACATCAAATTCTTCAATGCGTCTATTCGATATCTGACATTACAAGCTCTTTTGGAGTTCACAGGTGGCTGAACTTCTAGAGTTCTTTTTGTTTCATTTGGAGAAAAATAACATTCGTTAACTCGCTCGGCTAACCGAATTTGAGAAGTTCAGTCTAATAACGTTAAGGTAGTTTAAGGTCAAGCTTCCTTATTAGCGTCTCATATCATTTTGCCTGAACCCTGAAACCTATATTCCCTGGACCAGTCAATCTTTTCGAGTCATATAACAATTTGCTACAGTACGTCACTGCAAATTCATGAATTGCTGATATAGTAGCGCTCAAAAGTCTTCGGCCAATTGCTTTTTCAGTCGCACTTTTCAGTCGTAACTCCTTTCCTACTTGATGTAATCATGCGAAATTTCAATATGTGAAACATGGGTGTATTGTGAATAATATCAACCACTATCAACCTGCAATCTGATCATGTT